GCTGAGGATGTGGGCTCTGTCCGTGATCCTGATGCTGAGGCCAGGCTCTGTCTCTGTCTGTGGTCCTGAAGCTGAGGATGTGGGCTCTGTCCGTGATCCTGATGCTGAGGCCAGGCTCTGTCTCTGTCCCTGAAGCTGTGGCCAGGCTCTGTCGCTGTCCGTGGTCCTGAAGCTGAGGATGTAGGCTCTGGTCCTGAAGCTGAGGCCAGTCGCTGTCTCTGTCCGTGGTCCTGAAGCTGAGGGTAGCTCTGTCTCTGTCCGTGGTCCTGAAGATAAGGCCAGGCTCTGTCTCTGTCTGTGGTCCTGAAGCTGAGGATGTGGGCTCTGTCCGTGATCCTGATGCTGAGGCCAGGCTCTGTCTCTGTCCCTGAAGCTGTGGCCAGGCTCTGTCTCTGTCTGTGGTCCTGAAGCTGAGGATGTGGGCTCTGTCCGTGATCCTGATGCTGAGGCCAGGCTCTGTCTCTGTCCCTGAAGCTGTGGCCAGGCTCTGTCGCTGTCCGTGGTCCTGAAGCTGAGGGTAGCTCTGTCTCTGTCCGTGGTCCTGAAGCTGAGGATGTAGGCTCTGGTCCTGAAGCTGAGGCCAGTCGCTGTCTCTGTCCGTGGTCCTGAAGCTGAGGGTAGCTCTGTCTCTGTCCGTGGTCCTGAAGCTGAGGGTAGCTCTGTCTCTGTCCGTGGTCCTGATGCTGAGGCCAGGCTCTGTCTCTGTCCGTGGTCCTGAAGATAAGGCCAGGCTCTGTCTATGTCTGTGGTCCTGAAGCTGAGGGTAGCTCTGTACCTGGTCCTGATGCTGAGACCAGGCTCTGTCTCTGTCTGTGGTCCTGATGCTGAGGGTAGCTCTATCTCTGTCTGTGGTCCTGAAGCAGATTCTGTGTTCTATCTTTATTCTTATGTTTTAACTGTGTTTCTGTAAGCTTTGTAATTCTGTGGTTCTGATCCATTAGTGCCTTTCTGGCTTCAGGTAGACTTTACTTTATTCTGACTGTTGTAATAAAGACAAACAGTGTTTCTTCTCTCTCTCATCATGTTCTGACCTCTGACCTCTGCTTGTTTCCTTTGTCTCTTTGCTGCAGTGGTTCTTCTGAATTCTAAAGAGACTCAGGCAGAGCTGGGCTGGACCTCCTACCCCCCCAACGGAGTAAGTTCTATTTGCTCTTCATTTACTGCTACTCCTCTGCYGGTCCACACCTCCTTTCTACAGCTCATCAATACTGTGAAGAACCACAGGTCCATATAGGCCYTTCTGACCCGCTCAGACATGCTGCCTCAGATAAATAGTTCCTCTGGTGTGGATCGATATCATTTGTGATAAGTTATAGCTCCAAGACAAATGGYCTTTTTAAAAGYACGGCCCAGTGCCACAACAGTTTGTCACACACCTCCCAGCTGACCTCTGTAAACACACATACACACACACACACACACACACACAAGATCTGTATCAAACAAGCAGTATGTGTTGGGTCATACATTACATAGGGATCTGTGTGTGTGTGTGTGTGTGTGTGATGAATGTTCAGATACACCTTCCTTTCTGAGTGTAAACACACAGCGTCCTGTTTGACCTGAGTTTATCTCCTCATCACCACCCAGAACCACTTCTCACTGGCTGCTGGTTCTATTGGATCAGGACTGAGTCAGAGTCCTTGTTTATTGGTCCAGTTTCACATGTATCAAATCCTTCTGCTGCTGAAATGATTTAGGTTTTTCTTTCTTTCAACAGCTGTTTTTAAAAAATGAAACACCACAGAGAGGAATGGACAATTTGGATTCAGTAAGAACTTTCAGTTTAACATAAAAGGAAAAAAGCAGCAGGAATCCTTCAGGGTACTTTTCTTAAAMAACTACATTTGTCCAGAAGAAAGGAAACTGGTTTTTATTTAAAACATGCTTTTAGACATTTGATTGGATTCTTGTGAGGGTTAATAATGTGTCAAGTTCAGTTTGATGCCTGTCTGATGAGGTTTACTCCCATTTCTTTGTCCTGGCAGGAAGTAATTTTGAAATGAAACTGACGTRTGCACATATGATTTTCAGTTTGTCCAAAGGGAACAGATGGAGGAGCATGAAATCTTGGCAGCAGTGGGGCTGAGAGCTGTAGAATGAACATAGTCATATTTACAGGAAAATCATCAGTGAGAAGAGCCTCCAGAATAAACTAAGTGACAAAAACACACAAAGCTGTTCAGTGTCTCCTCTGATGGTTCAGACTTTCATTATTACTCAGCCAACTGCTTTATGACGAGTCCAGGGTTACACAGCTCAGTCTGTTAGACCTTTGTTAGAGAGGGGAAAAACCCACAGAAGTCCCAGAAATAACTTCAAACTGACACTGACTAAAGGACACTACTGGACTGTCTGAGACCCACCTGTCCACAGGTACAGGACTGTCTGAGACCCACCTGTCCACAGGTACTGGACTGTCTGAGACCCACCTGTCCACAGGTACAGGACTGTCTGAGACCCACCTGTCCACAGGTACTGGACTGTCTGAGACCCACCTGTCCACAGGTACAGGACAGTCTGAGACCTCTGCACACAGGTACAGGACTGTCTGAGACACCTGTCCACAGGTACAGGACTGTCTGAGACACCTGTCCACAGGTACAGGACTGTCTGAGACACCTGTCCACAGGTACAGGACCACTCCAGCTGTTTAGGGTCTGAAG